TAGTACTAGTTCAATTATCTTAGTGCACAGAATTGAAAGGTAATTATCATCTAATGCACCTTGCAATAATACTATTAATCATTCGTTATTGGTAAATGCTAGCAACAATCTTAAGTAAAACTAATATTAATCTCAACAATAGAATAAGATTGGAAGTTGTTTCATAATTACATATATTAGGCAATATGGGTGCCTAATATATGTAAATATATTAGGGGTTGGTTTACCCTGGGCTTGCTTAGCTTCTGACGCTGAAGCTTTGACATGTATGTAAAAGCTGTAGATGTAGATGGCCTTTTCTTTTGACAAGTCATGATGAAATGTTACATTATTATTTACTTAAAGGCACCATCTGTACAATAAAAAAAAATAAAATCTTTTAACCAGAAGATAGCAGGTCTTAAACTTGTTCCCCTCACCTGATCTTTGCTGAGGCTCACCTGTGCTCGCTGGTCTTCTTCTGTCAGACCAAAGCTGGCACAGTATAATGCAGTAGTTATGTAAATGGCATCTAGTGGTGTCATGTGAGAATAACAGGGGTGGGGTGGCCAATTTAACTACAGATGTTAGCTTTTAATGTACAGTGATTAAAATGTGATGAAGCAGGTGTATGCAAAAGGATTGTGCTTGTACTGTTCACGTGACCCTCCAAGTACTAATTTCACTGAATCTTTAAATATATATATTTTTTTACCTTTCTTGCTATTTCCAAATGATACTCTTTCTCCACATCTTCCAGTAGCCGGCTTTTGCAGCTTGAATACAGCATGCGCTCTTTGATGCTGCAACTGTACCCAGGCATTGAGTAAATAAACACTGCAGGAAAAAGGATATGAACTGTTAACATGGAAGCCAATTTCTCATTGTCTGATTTGTGTAATCCGTAGTTCATGGAAAAGGTTTGCGTACCAATGGAGTCAAGTTGGTCTCCTTCATGACAGTGTTTGTAAAGGAAGAAGTGATATCTGGGAGTGTCTTTGGGAACTCTTCGGGGCAGGTCTCGTATTTCTGTTGGATTTGAGTGCACCAGTTCAATTGTCTCCTTTTCTATGTCCAACCGCTGATGTGGAAAAAAACCCAATATGAATTCCTAGAAAACGGGGATTACATTCCGCGTATCCCTGACAAGTTAACAGAATTGAAGAATTGAAAAAGCAAAGTAAACATGCTGGATTGTTGCTATGGGTAATTTCCATCTATTGTCCTGCATATTCACACAAACACACACATTTCCAGTGTTTTTGTGGGTATTGCATTGACTTACAGTCATTTTCTACAGACTGATCCCATCTTAACAGACTGATCCAATCTTAGCAACTACTACTCAACTAACCTTTACCTGCAAGCCAACACTGTCAGGATGCATGTTTAATTTTTTAGCAATAAACACACAAGTTGAATGCCATATTGTGAAAAATTCAAGACAAAGCTATAACATTTCCATAGGGATAGACAGACATAGATTTCAGTCCCTGCAATCTGTTAAATCCACTCTCAAACTTTTACATATGAGCACAGGAGACAGGGCAGGTGGTGTGTCTTGCCCAAGGCCATTATGCACCAGCCTCCTGTTTTGTGGGCGAATGATCTGAAATACTGAAACCAGCTCTGGCATATACTGGATGAGAGAGTTAGCGTTTTGTCACGAAAGCTGTTTTCTTAGAAGCAGATAATTAGTGTTTGAGTGGGTGGAACAAAGGCCACATTGTGATGGCTAAACTACAAGAACAGTGAATATCTTAGAAAACTGCTTAAGTTTTTCTGTAGAACTGTAAAAATAATTGATATATAGACACTAATCAAACACAAACTAGCATCAAAACTATATACTCATTTGAAGTATTGATACTGGAAATCACGTAAACAGGACAAAATTGAACCATTTCTGAATAGTTTAAGAATGGTCTGTATTTAGAACTAGTATAAGACACGGTAATATTAAAGAAACTGCTATTTTGTGCTGAAAATGATTCTACTGTATAAAGTATTTCTTTAAAAAATATATATCATGATAGTATTGGTATTGAGATATGTGATTTTAAAGTTGTTTTGACCCAAACGACAAAGCCATGAGATCTGTCAGTGGATGTCATCGGTAAAAATAAGAAGGTTTTTGTATTGTAGGTATTAGATCTGGATTAGGTCAATTTCACCACTCTTATAATTCTGGTAATTCATTGTTCTAGGTTAATCTTTATTTTATCCCTTGATTTAGATGTAGCATTTGGATTAGTGTAGATTAATTTCCTAATAAATACTACTCGGAAAAGCCAAATATTCCAGGAAGTTGAACAATGAGCAATGTTAGCACACTCACCAACTGTATAATTAATACGTTTTTGTGACAGAAGGTGCAGGGCTCTCTTTGCAGACTCTTGCAGTGGGAAAGCCAATCCCTGAAGTGTTTGCTTTATGTCCATGCTGATCTCTGCTTTCACCTACAGAGGGCAGTAAGGAGACACAGAACGTTCAGACAGTCTGGTCTGGACTTTGGAGATTTCACTGAGTTCAAGAACACAATGTCCAAATGGGGTGGAAGTTTGTACATACAACATAAGGTTAGACCATATATATGGATATATATGTAGAGTCAATGGTTAGACCACACATATGTGACCAAAGGCTTTTGAGAGAAAAAATAAATGTACTGTGTATATTCACATTGCTTGTTGTTGCCATATAGGAGATGGTACTCTTTGTACACATTAAAGTGTAAAGGTCAGGTAACATAAAAGCAAAAAAATAACATTTAAGTAAAAACAAAATGTGTGAAATTTTACTTTGTAACAAAACATCATACATACACCATTTACACTGTTGGGGAATGCATAATGCATATAAAAGAATTATTGTTTCTACTACTTTACCAGTACTTTTAACACATTGTGCATATTATACATTTATCTGTATAATTCTGTATATACTGATAATTTAACATAGTTTTATGTTTGGATTAAGTAAAACAAAAAAGATGATGTATTTGGAATATTCCATGACATTTAAGATAAACTATTCAAATGGAAGAAGTGAGATAATATATTTAAATAGAGTCAGCATTTAATTTTGTAAGTGTCAGCACTGTTTACTTCTGCTTGAGTAGCTAAACTCTTATTTCAGAGGAAGTTTTGATCATTCTGCCCACATCACCTCTGCTCGAAACATGTGCTATTTTGCTCTGTAAATTCACAATAAGTAAGTGAAAGAACAAGAACAATGATGCACTTTGCTCAACATACCTGTTTAACTTTGCCCTGAAAAAATAAAACGAATAGGAGATTAAAAGTACGGTAAAAACACATAGACAAAGGCCTAAGGCAGTGATGACCCCTGACCTCTGTGATTTTGATCCTCTGCAGTTCCTGTTCGGCCACAGTGAGAGGGGCGGGGCCAGAGCAGGACATCACATGGTGCTGGTATCCGAGCAAGCACACATCATCCTGGATGTAAAGGGAAAAACATATACTTTATATGAGCATGGGGTAACCAAATACTAAATAATAAAGGTACAGAGATTTTTACTAGAACTTGAGGTCCTTTGTGCTGATACCCATTGTAGATGTGATTTAGACTGGTTGTAGTCCGTGTTTAAACCTGATCCTTTCCAGGATTGGTTACGAAATTCATCCCAGTTTAGTCCCAATTTTGGTGTGATACATGTGCAGAAATATGTGTACTATGTAACTTTTCGGGTGAGGATTCTCCCACCAACTCCCACCAACTTCATATTGCTATGCCTTTAAAGAATCCACAGTGTTAGGCTAAAGCTATAGCATTTAGTGCAAATAAACAGTCAATGGTATCTTAGTCCACCAAATTTTCAAGTAAGCAGAAAGAGGAGGGACTGGACAGTGTCTTCATGCAATTTAAGTGAGATCTTTAGCATTTTGAGCATTTTTGCAAGTACCATGAAATGTCTTTGTTTAGCTGATTAATCAGTTGCTTAAAGCCTTTAGATATTTGTTGGATTCGCCTCTCATTTGGTCCTGGTTTGGTTTTGGTTTAGTCCTTGTTTAGCTCTGGTTTAGGCCTGTTTTGGCCCTGGTGAAATTAGTTTAGTCCTGGTTTGGTCCTGGCTTAGTTCTGATTTAGTCTTGGTAAAGTGGAGAATGTGTGAAATGTGTGTACCTCGGCTGTTCCAAAAATTTCGTATTTCACGTGGCCTCCTCCAAACTCCTTCTTGACGGTGGCACGAGTGGCAGCGTACAGCATCTTCTGTTTGACCTGTAAACACCAGAGAGAGAACCGTGTTATGAGAACTGTACCAACTCAGAAACGCTCATAATGGGAGGAAGATAAAAAGAACGAAGAAAACAAAAAAAAAATAATAAAATAATGTAATGTAAATATGTCTAAAACTGGAACAAGTAAAAATCTGAGAATTAGAATAATCAGGTAACCCAACAAATATATCTGAATTGGGACGTCTGGGATATTTAGAGTGTATAGATTGTATATGGAGAACAAAGGAATTTTTACATAACACTGTCAGTCTTTTGCCACATTTGTTTGCACTTTTTATTTACATAAAACATTTACATTTCCTCTTCAAAACCTGTACAGGTGTGAACAGTCATAAAGAAATCAGATTACTCACAGCAGAGGGTTTTTGACATGTCAATATTCTGATAACTCCAGATAATCATCAGATTTTGGTGTGAAAGTAAACATAGTCAGTGCTACAGGACTAACTAGAGAAGCTTGGTTTAATATTAAGTATGTATTTAGGCTTAATATTATTTTCATTACATGACAGCATATTTAAATGCTATTTGCTCAGCATGTCATTGACAAAATGTATTTTGGTTCTGCTTCTTATTATTTGAACTTACCAAGCAGAATAAATGATTATTTAATGACAATAATTTTGAATGGTGCTCTCACTGTGTAATTGTTTATTCTGATAATAGCATAATTGGTAGGTTTTGCAATGTGTTTTTACCCAAACTGTACCTGAAAACTGAAAGTCGTTTGTATTCTTCATGGAATATTTCATTTCTGCTCCTATGTAATGAGTTAGTGTTTGTAATGAATCTGCCTTAAATGATGTTTTTCTCTGGCATTATATTTGAATTGTATTAAGTAGGTGATAAATGCTATGCAGTAATAATCAGTATGTAATTATTGAAATAATGCTGAACTATTAGCCTGTCTATCATACTGGAGATTGATCCGGGGACCAGGAGATGAAGACCCACTCATAGCCCAGTGCATTTTGGGAGTCGAGGCGATATAAGAAGTAGCTGGGCTCTTGGTCGTCAAGGAGAGGAAGCAGGAAGTGGTCATAGTCCTGGTCCCAGCTTTGCTCCGGCTCTCTGTAAGCTCCAAGGACAAGCTGCTCTGAAACCAGACAGTACCAAATCATCATCAGAATTTCATCAGAAGTGAAAAGCACTGTAACATACTGTAGTTTGCTTTTATGGGACATAGCAAAGAATGCTAGAAAAGATTTATTGAACATTACATTAGCCCTCAGACCTGCTGCTGATGTATGGGCAGATTAGATGACATTAGGAGATGTCTTCCTTTGAGGTCTGGGCAATGGTGTCAAGCAGAATAATGGGGATGATGAGTTGATGAGATATTTAGAGAATTCATTTAGTTTTTTTTATATGCAGAATTTGAGTGGATGAAATGCCAAGTTGTTTTTCACATTGTGTGGTGTTTAACATTTGCAGTAATGTCTGTGAGGCTGTGGTTGCTGCAGCACGAAAAGTTGATCGTCAGCCGATCAAGAAACTGATAGATTCCATGAATGGAAGGCTTATGACCATCACCGAGAAGAAGGGTGGCTATACTGGTCACATATATATATATATATATATATATATATATATATATATATATATATATATATATATATATATATATATATATATATATATATATATATATATATATAGTCTTATCTACTATCCACCGTACAGAGTAAGGTGCTAAACACACTTCACAGGCCGTCTTCACATATGAGTGTCCTATATGAGTCCTGCCAGTGCAGCAGATTCAGCCTCTCAGCAGGAGCTCTAGGTTTATGTGTCATTGTAAATCACACAGGGACAACACAAGCATACTGTCAATACACTTACATATACTTATGAGCTAATTTCACACTTCAAGAGAGGACTATCTAAATAATGTATTATAATTAGGTCAAGCATGTGCAATATGTGTTTTCAAAAATAGGTAGAAAGAATAAACTCAAAAGCAGTTAAAAAATAATAATAATAATGTCTGCTTTACACTTACAACCAAATAAGATAATTGGACCTTGCAAATATAAAATATATGGTTTCAGTTTGATTAGCTTTTTACTGCTATGATTACTCTAAAATTATCACTGAGTATGATATGTTCCTATACTGTTACTGGTTTTAACTTAATAAAGTTAAAGAACGTCACTTATTTCCTCTACATTATCACCCTTGTGTTTAATGACTCTTACGGTTTCACCTTACCAAAATAATAATATTCAACTTATTATGGGAAAATGGAAACATCAACATAATTATGTAGACATGTTTTTGGACAAATATTGCACAAAGCCCCCAGTGTCCTTGTAGGGCCGGGGGATTTCCCAGTATACCTCTCGGGGCTGCTGCTATTCTGGGCTCTGACACATTCCTCCTCTACCAGCTCACTCAGACCATACTTTCCACTGGCCATTATTGTCAATACAAGTTATGACCCACTGTATTTCTCAATGTGACTAAATTGAATAAAGATGAAGTCCTTATAATGTTTCAAGAATGAAATCTAACAGGTGCTAATAATCTGTTTATTGCAGTTCAAGTCCAGTGTTGTTACTGTTTTAGTGATGGCTATGGCCACATAAAATATTGGCTACCCACCTATGTTTACACCTGGTTTTGGTAAGATTTAGACCTGAGCCTTTAGTCTTGGTTCAGTTTGTGTTGAACCTGGTAGGATCCTGGTGTAGTCATTAAATATGGCTTAGATGACTGCTTAGTCATGGTTTAGTCTAGTTTTAGACCTGGTTATCATAATTTTTAGTCATAGTTTAGTCTTGTTTTAGACCTGGTTACAGTCATCGTTAATCATGGTTTAGTTTGGTTTTAGACCTCGTTATACTCATTTTTAGTCATAGTTTAGTCTTATTTTAAACCTGGTTACAATCATTTTTACTCATTATTTAGTCTGGTTTTAAAACTTTTTTTGTCCTTAGTTTGATCATGTCTTAGTTCTGGTTTAGTTTTGTTTTAGACCTGATTTAGACCGGTTTAGCTTTAAATTCATCCATTTCTTTGTTTTGATTTAGTCATCTTATTTTTAGTTGGTCTAGTTTTAACCTGATGTCATCCTTTGACCTGGTTTGCTTATAGATCCAGTCTTAGTTAGGACCTAGTTTATAGTGGTGGTTTTGTCCTTACACCAAGTCCAGTCTTTAATCCTGGGATAATTAACAAATTATAGTAGATGATTTCCTCTTTTGGTTACTGTGCACAGTCATTTTGGGCCCATTTTACCTTGTCCCCGATGCCATATGAATTGTATAAAAATGAGATTTATATAGAAAACAGGGATTTTTTTTTCCTCACAAAGAAATCAAAACATTTGGGATGTACTGGCTTTCGGGGTTGTGATAGGTTGTCACCTGTTGCTATTCCAATCTCTCTCTCTGTGTGTTATGACTGAACACCTAAAAATCATATGGTGTCATTGCATTTATTATCTATGAAAAATAAATAAAATTTCCCACGTTCATCCCTCCACACCTAACAACATGCCCCTCTTTTTCAATTTGTGGTGGTCACCTATATTTTATCATTTATAGTGGTAATTTATCCATTTTCTAGCCTTGCTCTTGGTGTGAAGGCACTGCAGACTACTGGAACCAAGCACAATGCTATGGGAAGATTGAGACAGTAAACTGAGAGACCACAGCGGTGATGAAATCAACACTAGATCATGTTTCATTCTGACACTAAAAAGCAGCTCTCAATCACGTCTAGTTACATGTCACTGCAAATAGTGCCACCATCAAAGCCTCAGAGGACTGTTCAGCTCTGTCCCAACACGCCTGGCAAAACATCCAACAAATACCAGGCTGAATATTTAACATGATGAGAGTATATGCTCCCTTATGTACCGACCAGAAAGGTTAAGTCGTTAATCTTATAGTGACTGATATGGATCAGGTCATAGTCCCATAGTCGGATGTAAACAGCCATTCAAACGTCAGTCATCTCTCCTCAAACAGACACTGACTTACTGACCGCTTCTAGGTGCAGTGACACACATCTCACTCTACTTCGATTTCCTCGAAGATTCTCAAGTCATGCTAATAAACAACAAGGCTTTAGGCGAATCTCACTGTGACTAACAAAGAGGTCATAGGCAACTGACTTAAAGAAACTCTTTGAAATATTTGCTGCTACTGCTGTCATCATAACAACTCATCTCTCTGTAAATATACGGTGATTTGTAAGATTGGCATTGGTTTGACATCAGCTGTCCTGTTTCATACAACCCCTATTGTATGCTTGTAATGCTAGAACTGATTTTGTTTATGCCGTCATGTTTTCATTTTTGATTGCGGACTTTGGATAGCTTGGTGTATACAATATATTTTCGGTTTATGTTTATTTTAAACAGTGAATTTATCTTCATTGCACTAGCTCTTAATTGTGACCTCTTCCATACCTAAGATGACATAAAATGAAGTTGTCAGTTACTCAACTGGCTCTGATCAAGAGTAAAGGGCGTATATTACGCAAATCTAACTGATGTCCTCAAAACAGTACATAGAGTTGTGTTTTGTTTCATTCAGACATGTTTGAGCAATGAGTCATGAAACTAGTTTTTAAGTAAACAGCTACTTTTTACCTTTTGTTTAGTGGAGATCTGCAATTCAGGGCTGAAATTATCCTAATGATTCTAGTGAAGGAGTATGGAGTTTAAAAACACAGTGGAGAGCTTACTGTATTAGCACATGACATCACAAAGTGGAACAGAGTATTTTCTGTTTGAGAGAAGAACTCAGCCTAAATATGAAGGGTTTGTGCATTGAACATGTGTGAAATAAAAAACACAACTCCAGGTTTGTTTTTGGTGAGGAAACAACATTATAACACAGATTCAAAAATAGCATAATAAGGGCCCTGTAATTTAGAGCCAGTTTAGTGTCTTTCATTGTTTAGCTTATCATTGCTTAGTTTTGGCCTGAGTTTGTGTTGTAATGCAGTTTTTAGCCAAATAGGAGTCCCAAATGAATGTAACTTGTTTTTTGCATTTTTCATAGACCACAGGCCATGGTTTACACAATATAAGCAGATTCAAACAAATATCAAATTTAACCATATAAATATTTTGCTGTCAGAACTTTTCACCAGTCTCACTAATATGGTTGTGAGTTGGTCCTGAACTAAAAGGTTTGTGCACCCTTGCATTAGATAACTGAATTAACCTCAGTTTGACTATGGACACATACATACTCGGACTATACCAGGACTCAACCAGGACAAGGACAGGACTACACTATGATCAAACTTTAACAAATCAAGAGCAAGCAAACATAATTTCTCCTTTGTAAGCGGGCATATGGGACCTGCCTTCTTAATGGGGCAAAAATTAGGTCCCCCATATTTTATGATTATAGAACATGATTAAAGTTCAGGTATGGGTTAAATAAGTTAATGTCTAGGTTAGGCAAGTGGCTGTGTGGTTAGGTTCCATCTCCAGTCAATGTCAACATCCCCCAAAAAATGAAAACCCAACATTTGTGTCCGGGCTCTGACTCACCGTCCTTGATGCAGACTTTGATGAGGCGCACTGCTCCCCCTCTGGCCCGGGCCAGGAACTCCCTCAATTCTGGTGTCACCACCAGCGCAAGGAACATGGTGGGACTGTGTCGGTCCCCGCAACAACTGACACAAAAAGATATGAAAGAAAAACAGCCGCAATATCTAATAAAAACAAAAGGCAACAATTAGGTCCCAAGTAGAAAGTTAAGTTGGAAAGTTACGGCTATTAGCAAGTAGGTTGTTCAGTCTGCTAGCTCTCTCTAGAACTGTGTGACACTTCCAGAAGGGACATCATGCAAGTAACTGGGACAGGATCATATGCCCCGAGAGGCAACCTGATCACCACCACCAAAATTAGCCCTCTCTGACTGTCCAGCCATGGGCACTGGGCTGTGGAACCCCCCCACCACCCACCATCCCCCCATCCCATAACAACAAGTCCCATGCAGGAGGAGAGGAGGGGACAGGCCTAAAGATGAGCAATGTAACAATGTCAGCTGCTGCTTAATATTGTCCTCAAAAAGAAGTTCATGGTTGTTTTTGTCTGGATTCATTGTAAATTTCCTGTAACATGGAGTAATAAAATAGACTATAAATATCAACCTCAAATTGGCTTTTGGAGCATGTATTAAAAGTGACTATACATCCTTAGAAGGAATTCTATTTGGAAGTCACTCTTGATCAAAATAACCAGATATGTAGGCCCTATTGCCAAAGACGTCAGTGGTTAAATTTATTTTTCAGTTTTTTCTTTGTTTGTTTATTATGTTTAATACCTGTAAACAAAAAGTTTAAAGGTAAATTTGACATTCCCAAATTGATATAGGCCTATATTACATAAATATCTCAAAATGTGCAGTTTATGCATTGACACCATGATACACATTCTTCTTTATTATCTAACTGTAACTTTGTATTTTACTTCATGGTATAATCATTTTAAAATGTGTTACCACATCTTACCCATGACCCCATGTAACAAACCCTCCTGATAACACAAGGTTATTTTTTTATAGCTCAAATCCATGATGACTTCAGTATCACTAAAATAAATCTCATCTATTCTAATTGTATGTCATATGTAAATATAGTCACTATTCTATCAGCCCATTATAACCATCCAAACAAATCACTACTCATCCATACAAATAAATCTGTCATGTACTCTACGACTAATGTTCAACTGCTCAGATTGTGTGACCAAATATTGCAAATGTAAAATTTCCCCTTCTACTATTGGATATCACTATATAGACTCAACTGTCAGGTTCACGTGTGGCCACTAAAAGATAATTCCTCTTCACAACAACTTCAAGGTCAAAGTGTTTACACACACGTCACTGAAAAACAAACATGGCATCTAAATGGGTCAAAGCTAACATATGAAGACATGACTGGAACTGGGTTTCAATAAACATGTTTCATTCATATTAATCTAAAGACACTCTTCCAATGTAGTCTCTCACTATTTCAACTCATTGTGTAATTTGTTTTTGAGAAGATTCATTACAGCATTTAATGTCAACCGAAACATTTTCATAACCAATATTTTGCAACTTGTGTGATAAATTTCAAAATGAGAACCCAAGCCTATAAATACAGACTGGCTTCACAGGTAGATGCAATTAGAGGATATTATACCAAGAGTATAAAAGATACAAAACACCCAACTATTTACAAAGACATTTAATGTTAAATAAAAATATAAAAAAACAGACAAACATTAAAAAGTCTTTTGAACGAACATATTTACAACAAGTTTGCGTAGTGACACTGGCAACACTGCCACCTCCTGGTCACACTAGGTTATATCAGTCCTTTGTAAAAATGTCAGTCCTCAGTCATCAATGGTTGGAAGCCAAAACGCCTAAAAAATGAAAGAAATAGTCAAATTATTATCTACCCATCTTAGTGTGGGAAGAAAGAAGTAAATATTTGTTCGGTATGTTTTTCATTCTTACCATGTTGGAGCAGGCGCTTGCAAATGTCATGAACTTTGGGTTGAACTGCAGACAAGTGATGGGCCCTGTGTGCTTCCCATCTAAAAGAGCCACCTTCATCCCACTCTCTGCGTTCCACACATGGATCTTTCCATCCTCTGAACCTGGAAAATTACAAAAGATATATATGTATATATTTTTTTTGTTTTAATCAACTGGACATTATAAAACCTATTCTTGTCTGTGATCAAATAGCCAGTTTTTGAGAATCATTCAAACCATCATTCTGAACTCAATACTACCCTATTAGCCACAATGGATCATCCAATATGTGTATAAATCTTCTACCATTAATTTATGCCCCATTTCTGAGCATAATGTCAATATAAATCATTTATTCATGATGCATTCAGAACTGGAATAAAATTATGAAAATAAATGCACAATATAATTTATGTTTAATTCTGGTTTCCGATCACAAGGTCTACTTTGTAAATTGCCCAACCAACACTGAAAAGTTTATTTTAAGGCTGTGGTGAGGTTTCCATAAAAGTAAGGGCACACATAGCACGTCAGTGATACCGTGTTGAATGTCAGTTTGCATTCAGAGTTTATTTAATTTGCATCTGCTTGTATGTTTTTCCTGTTCATTGACACTGGATAACAAGCAGAAAGCAGTGTTCACTTACCAATCATAACGAACTGTGAATCTGGAGTGAAGGATGCTTCCAATGTTACACCTTTACTGTTGTTGTAGCCCTACAGATAGATAAGGACAGTTTAAAAGACAGTCACATAGAAAAGACAAATGGCACAAATAAACTCAGATGCCTGCGTAATAAATGCACAATACATCAACATATTCTTCTTACCCCAAATGAATGTAGTACAGCACCCTTGAAAGCATCCAGGATGCGCAGGGCTCCTCCATTTGTGGAGAGAAGAATCAGTTTCCCGTCATTACTGAACTTAAGCCCAGTCCACTCACATGTTCGCTCATACTGAAGTTTAAAGGTGGCAAATGGACCCTGAAACAGATAACGGTACAGAATACAACTCACACACACATTGAGAAATCCTGTATTAAGCAATGTCTGTGTTGCAAAATACATTCTAGGGTAATTCGCAAACAGACTGAATGTGGAACTGACCGACCCAGGATCAGTCCTGCCGTCTGATCTTTTTGAAGAAAATTATCCAAACATTTTACCGTTTTCAACAACATCTGAAAAGTTAAAAATGTACCTTGTCAAATGAACGAAGATCATACAGCTTCACCATTTCAGAATTTATTCCTGCTGCAAAGATGAGCCCCTCTGGGTCAAAGGAACAGACCGGCTTCCCCTGTAGGTGCATAAGACCCTGACAACAGAAATGCAAATATGGTCAATGAGTTCATGTCTGCTGTATCCAAAAAAATATGACATAGATGTGATTATAATGAAGTGTGTACCTGACAATTTGGAGAGCGCAGATCCCATAGTCTAATAGTTTTATCTAATGAACCGGATATAAAGGTGTCATCCACAGGAGACATGGATAAGGACGTTACTCTAATTATAAAAAAGAAAACGTGTCGGGGAATGCAATGCCAAAAACTGCTTTAATATAGTTTGGAACCATCCTCACCTTTTATTATGCCCAGGAAAATATCTTATGTATTTGTTATCATGAAGTGACAGATACCTGATTGTATCTAAAAAACACAAAACAAAATGTAAGCAAAACTCACTTATTTACATAAATAAGCACAACAATGACATTATAATCACACTGTATGAATCCGGCTGGTGATCGCACTCATCCGTGGGCAAGGCAGTCACTTGTACAGTTAGCTCCTGTATGGGGCAGAATCACAGACCCACCAAACTGTACAAACAACTACCTCAGTCCAAAGAGAGCATTTCACTGCAAATTCACAATCATAGGAACAAAGGATTAGCAGCACACATGGACCACAAAAGGTACACAATCTTGTCCAGCATATTATAACACGTAACAAGACTTCAGATCTTAACAACAGCCCAAACTAGTCTCATTTATAAGCTTTCTACTGTGAAGCGAACATGACATTGTTGATGTGAGTGGACTTTATACCTTGAAAGAGAGCTATATTGTCCACGACCACACCCTCTAATCAATAACTAACATAACCAAGTAATAGTTAAAAATAAATTAAACAAACTCACCATCAATTTTGTTCGAGCTGTAGACCACTGTGTTGGCTGCATGTGTGTACCTGATGAGATCTACCCCGTATTTTTTACTATAAAGTGTCCTCTTGGGTCTGCCATAATAGAGATTGGATGAGAAAACAAAAGAGAGAAGACAAATTAGCACTTCAACACATTTGTACGCTTAATAGTCTGAAAACACGCTTACAGAAGGAAAATATGTGCAATGCATAAAAATCCAATGGCATTTCATTCATTGCTAGGGGACATACGCAGTTAGCACGGCCTGGCTAGTTAGCACCCACAAGCTAATAATAGAAACAAAAGGAGAAAAGGTCAAAATCGAGTCTTACTTTCCCTCTTGGCAGTCGTACAGGACTAGAGAATCATCGTCGCTACTGGATATAATAGTTTCACCGTTTGAACTAAAATCAAAACAATTAATTTTGTCGGAGTTTTCTCGGAACACTTTAGCTACCCTGAAACTCCGCAGCACATTGTCCGTTAGCTTCATGTTGGCCTCTGTTTGTAGCTGAGGCAAATGCTAATAAAACGCGTTTATGGAGGGTAATTTAAGTTGTTATGTCGTGATATGTGAACTAAGATTATGAATAACGGTATTTTGTCCGACTTGTCACTGAAAAAGCACAGAAAAGTCCTCTTTTACTACTTCTTATCCACGGTTTTTCCAGAAAGTACCGCCTTCCCCACCAAGAGGCGACGCGCGTCTACGTCGCTCTCAAACAACGCGAGAGCTGGAGATATCACGAGACTGTGTTTGTTTACATGAAAGTTAGGGTCCAAGGATTCATTTCGCCTCTGAGAATTTAATTTTAATAAAATCAAATACATTTTTTGCTATTCTAAGACTATGTAAAATGCGAGTACTACTTCTACTAACATCCTAACGTCGCTGGTATTACTCGATGTTTAGTCTATTTTGAAAAAGAACTTTCTTCATTATGTGTGTTTAAATGTTTTGTTGATCTGTGTTTTGCCCCAGCTGACCCTGAACATGTGTAAAGTAGAAGTGAAGAAGACACGAATGGTGCTTTTGGATTTGCGGGTAGGTCTGTCTACGGAAATGTTAATGTTTCTGTTTTACTTGCTAACTAGACCTGAAGTTATAACATTTGTTGTGTAATATCTGAACATAGCAACATCTATCTGTATCAAGCCAATTTAATAATTTACTTAATTGTTACTTATACTATTATTAATTGCATTGTGTCATTTGTAAACTCAAAACATTAATGTACATTGCTCTTTACTAGTACAAAGTGAAAATTCTCAATCTCTAATACCTCTAGTCCTTTGGCCTTTGTGAGTCAATTATTACACACACAGTACACAGCTCAAGTAAAACTCTGGTCAGATTTTCGTCCTCACTGCCGAGCTGCTGTGGTGGTGGACACAGTGGTTATTAGTTTCCATATTCTTTTTGCAGTCTTCTCAGGTAGGCTGTAGAACTGGCTGTATATTTTCACAGTAAACTTATCCTGATACTTACATGATATTGTATCCCACTGAACCAGACTTTACTTTATTGCAAGCCACTGCAGGTTGTGCAATTTAGGAGAACATTTCAAATATTTACTACTTGAAATGTCAAATTATTTTTCAAATAATCAAGCTTGTAGTTGTACCTTAATTAAAAATATAAACTTTGCAAATTGAAGTATGATATTTGACAAGAAAAATTAAGTCAGTTAATGATGATATTGTATGTTATTTCCTAGGCAGCTCCAGCTCAACCCACCAACTTCTGATGGCGCGTGCTCTGTCCTTTTTCCGACCTAAGCCACTACTTGCTCTTGTTGAAAGGCGAAAACCTATGTTCTCCAAAATGTCACTGGACTCTAGAGCAAGAGAGGTGTTTGCAACAGCTGTGAGGGCTGTGCAACCAGACACTGTGGTGCGGCAGAGTATAGAGCGTAAAGACGATGTAATTACTATTGATGGACACAAACTAACTCTGAAAAACAATCTGCACTTAGTTGGGTTTGGTAAAGCTGTACTGGGAATGGCTGCCGAGGCCGAGAGGATTTTGTCAGATCATTTAGTCAAAGGAGTCATAAGTGTGCCTCATGGCATCCAGGACAGTCTACGACAACATGGGAAAAAGTATGTTACATTAATGTGATTTTACCCTTGCATATTGATTTAAATGTTCTTTCTCCCATAACAGCCATCTATTGTTAAAAGAAAAGAGTTGTATTGAAATAATTGAAGGAGCCAAACACAACTTGCCTGATGATGATGCCCTAAAAGCAGCTGAGAAGATCAAGCAACTTGCGTCTGGATTATCACAGAAAGACCTGCTGCTCGTACTTATTTCAGGTATTTCTGAGTTCTTAAGATAACACCCATTTGAATTAAAACCAGTTTCAATATTGATTCTGTCATCTCAAACTTATACTTCACTACTATTATTACTACATAGGTGGTGGTTCTGCGCTGTTGCCTTCACCTGTTCCGCCAATTTCCTTGCAAGAGAAACTGGATGTTACACGAAGACTGGCAGGCGCTGGAGCCACTATACAAGAACTGAACACTGTACGGCGGGCCCTTTCTCTTTTAAAAGGTGGAGGACTTGCTCATTTTGCTCACCCAGCCCAGGTAACAAAAATATAATCTAAATGCAGCTTTAATGTACCAGACTGATGAGTTATTCTCTATGCAGGTGGTGGCTCTTATATTATCTGATGTAATTGGTGATCCACTAGATTTGATAGCCAGCGGACCAACAGTACAGACAGAAATATGGCATGAAGAAGTCTTGTCAGTTCTTGAACGTTATAATTTGCTAGACTCTGTACCAGTCTCAGTACAGGAGGTTCTTGGGAAACTGGGCCCTAGATGGCAAAAGAAACAAATAGAAGGCGTACAAGAAGCACCTGTTATTAATACTGTGATTGGTTCAAACAGCATTGCCCTCAAGTTGGCTGGGCGGCGGGCTAGAGAGTTAGGATTTCGACCTGTTGTCCTGTCTCTAGGAGTGAGTGGCGATGTGAAACTTGTCTCTCGTCTTTACGGTCTCCTGGCTCAGTTTGCCTGCGGCACAGAAGAGCCTCCTCCAGAGATAGCTGCAGAATTGCTAAGACTAGGGCCTGAAGTTGGTGTTGAGACCTGGGACTTATGCCGTACGATGCAGGTATTGGATGAGAGTAGATCAGACGGATGGGGGGCCACATGTCTTTTAGCTGGAGGTGAGCCCACAGTAGAATTAAAAGGCAAAGGGAAAGGAGGGCGAAACCAGGAGTTGGCTTTGCGAGTGGCTGTGGAGTTACAAGGCATGGATCTCCCACCAAAAGGCCCAGTATTTTTGAGTGGTGGGACTGATGGCCAGGATGGACCAACAGAAGCAGCAGGAGCAGTGACTGATGCAGGTTTATGTGAAGAGGCCAAGACACAGGGGCTGGATATCAGTGGTTTTCTTGACAACAATGATTCTTTCACTTTCTTCTCAAAACTGTCATCTGGACAGCGCTTATTAGTGCCAGGACTAACTTGTACTAATGTAATGGATGTACATGTGTTACTAATTCCATCACCTCCTATTAACATAAAATAAACATGTGATACTTTAAGTCACTATACTATACTGTATTGGAATCACAGCCTATGATATGTAACACTCATATTCAATGTAAAATAAACACTTTTTCATACAAAAATGTAACTGAGAATTATGTTATTGGGAAATGTAATAAATAGGCTGATACCATTATGTACATTGTATATATTAATATTATATAAAGATGTTGCATATTGAAATTTGTAATACAATAATTTCTTTTATTTTAACATTTTGCAGGGTTTTCAAATGCTCTTTAGAGATCCAGATTTGTTCAGTTTGGAATGAACAGAAATTATATTCCTGCGTAAAAAATCAAAGTCAATTTAGCTTTCAAACAAAATGTATGCTTCATCATCAGTCATGGAATCAATGACAATAGTTGTCTGGCTCATGAATAACAAATTTAATTTATTGTCTTCTTAATCCCGATGAACCTTTGGTGTATCCCCAGCAGCACTGTCCCTACAAGATAAAATTGTGTGCATAAATTTAGACTGAAATTGCATGTTAACACACAAGAACATTCATACAGACAGTGGCTCTCTCTTTTCTGCATAACTGGAATTAAAACAAAAAAGTAAAAACAAAACACAATCTACGCCAGTCCATCTTTCCCATAATCAGGAAATAAATGCTCCATAAAATGCCTGTTTATAAAAGAAAAATAGAATTTTATATAACTGTACACTGTATCTGACATGAACACACATGCAGTCCTTTCATCCCTTATGTAACTGTTTTGTCGCACTACAAGCACAATACTGCTTTTTTACAGAACAAACAATAGATAGGCTATTCAGACACCTACCATCCACCCAGGTGAGGGGCTGTGTCAGGTGTTCCTCCGTTCTGGCCGGTTCCTGTAGAGTAAGCATAAAATAGCAGATCAATAAATGCAATCTATGGTATTTACACAGTAAGCACGACAGTCATGTCAGCTAGCTTTCGTTTTACCACAATCTGAAAAAAAGAGAGAAATTTACCCTGTCGGTAATACATGTCGTTCACTGTATTCCCGTAGACTTTCCAAGCAAAATGGATAGCAATCAGGCTAAATATTAGCCAGCTAAGAAGAATTTTAAATATAGATACTCGCATGTCGTTAGCAAGCCAGTCCTCCACAAACTCCGAGAGAAAAGATAAACAGCTGTCTGCTATTCGCGACAGAAACTCAAAATCCCACGTATCGTCCATAGTTGCTTTATGTTTTTAGCACTAATCTTGCGGTCTGATCTATGTTAGAGATGGTAGCGATGGCATTTCACAGAGTTTATCCATCATCTCTCATCTGCTGTGTTTTGGTCATGGATGCTTCACGCACAATCTTGCACAGTAGCGGATTGAGAAGCCGGATATGACGTACACAATTTAAAGCTACGTCCGTGTTCCCCTTTTTTTTCTTTTTTTTTTTTTTCTTATCTTTTACTAAGGATGAAAATTTTGTGTAATTATCAATCATTTTCTTTGACAAATAATACTTAAGAAGTAAACCTCATTAAAATGAGGATTTTGCAGCAAAAAAGGTGTAAGGGTAGATCGGGTAGATGTTTTGGTTCGCATACCTTTGGGGGCGGGACTTAATGTGACCGTCGGCGATTCTGATTGGCTGAGCCAATGTGTCATCAGAGATTCCGGATGTCTGCTGCCGCTGCTGTTGCGGTCAGGCAAAATTTGTTTTCTGTTTTGCATTCTTCTCGTCTTGCCATTTGTTCTCTACAAAGCTGCAAATGAATAGCTAGCAATTTAGAGTTTCTCCCCAACGTTTCGAAGAAAAAAGAAGCGTAAGTTTCATTCCTGATTTTGTTTATTTTTCATCTCAAACGGGTATTTCACTATTCAGCTCGGGCCGTGAAATTGATCTGTATGCGTTACGCTCGCTAGCAGACTGTGCTAACGACCCGATAAACAACATTTGCAAGTAGTATCTACATTTTTGAACGTTTATTAAGTAATGCTGTCCTTTAAAATAATTGATCGTGGTTTGGCTCTAGCATCTCAACATGGCAAACTAATTAGTCACGCTTGCTTAAACAACAACTATAACTACCTATCCTCTGTCCTTGTCTAATGCTTTAACCTGTCTCGTTTATGCTGCTGACATGTTTAAAATTCCTTAGTTCGTTTGATATCGGAGTTATTGTCCTTTGAAAACCAGTTTTCCTCCCATCATGTGATCTTACCACTGGCCCAGTATAAGTGCCGCTATTCAGAAGTTAAATCCGTGTTGACTCAGTGTTTGAAGCCACAACTACGAAAGTGCATATTATAATCAGTGGTGTTTTATTGTTTTTGTTTATTTAGGTGACTGGGATGGTAGTATGGAGGGAGACGGTCACCAAGAAGAAGAGGGCTTAACCATCAATGTCCAGCCTTCTGCAAGTGACTCAGGTAGATTCATATCCATTTAATTGAATTCACATGTATGCTTTTCTTTTAGTAATTTAATTTTCTTAATTTCTAGCCCAAAACCTGGCAACATCTCTATCTCTTTTGGGAAATCACATGTTTCCTGAGGCAGTGGAGAAAAGAGAAAGCAATGGAGTCAACATGGAGGGTGCTGCGGATTCAGACACATCAAGTATTGCAACAGAAGAGCCTCAGACTGAAGCAAAACCAAGCTCAGACCAGGTAACAAATGCAGAAACGGACAGCATATCAAACACTGAGGATGCTGCTACAGACAATAGCCAAAGCGACTCAGGGGAGTTTGTTGTAACGATGCTGGCTAAGGCGAAACTTGAAGAGCAGGGTTTAGGGGTGAAAGGTCGGTCGTCTCCCCTTTTGGAAGCAGGGACCCAAGACATACCGGCCTATATGTCTCATCGTGAAGAGGATGTGACTGCAGAGAGCTGGAGACAGCACAGGAAGCATGTTTTTGTGCTGAGTGAGGCGGGGAAACCAATCTACTCTCGGTATGGAAGTGAAGAGGCGCTCTCGTCCACAATGGGAGTCATGATGGCCTTGGTGTCTTTTGTGCAAACCAGTGACAACATCATTCGCTCTGTCTATTCAGGTAAGAGCCTCATGCTGCATACTAATTATTTAGCTTAGTAATGCTTATGCTTGCATTTGTGATTCATTTGTTATGGTGTAGATATTTCATAACTGAAAAAATCAACACAAAATATAATTTGACATAATAGTTTCCACACATGTTTATTTGACAAGAAGAGCTATGACTGTAAATGATGTTCTTGAACTCTGGTATAGGCACAAATGTCTAAATACCAAATTTGGATTTCAATCTATTACATTGGTTAAATAATAAATTGCTTATTATAACTAAAAAATATGTTTATTACCGTAATTATCTTGATACAATACTGGTTACCATAGTATAGTGAATCTTGCATTGTAAATTAAGATAAGATTGTTAAAAGGGATTCCTGTTAATGGTTAACACATTTTCCCTCAAGCCATGTCAGATTATGATTATGTATTTAAATTGCCACTAGTACAGTTGTTCATTTCACTTTCAATATTTCTAGTTTTATATTACATAGGTGTACAAAGGAATTAGCATAGTTTGCCTACCCATTTAAAAAGTAAAACCTCTACTGTGTGAATATTGCATTATATTTAATGTCCTATGTTTGTTTGTTGTTCTTTTGTTCATTTCAGATGAGCACACTGTGGTATTCCTACAAAAGGGGCCATTAGTTCTGGTCTGTGTCTCCTGTACTCGTCAGTCTGAACAACAGCTTCGGGGAGAACTCATGTACGTCTACTATCAGATCATCAGCATGCTCACCCAGGCCAGCATCTCACGCATTTTTGAGCACAAGAAGAACTACGACCTCCGGAGACTCTTGGCTGGTTCTGAGAAGATCCTGGATGGTCTTCTCAATTTAGTGGACTCGGACCCCAGTTTTTTGCTTGGAGCAGTACACTGTTTGCCCCTTGCTGCCTCTCTCAGGGACTCTTTAAGCCAGATCTTGCAGAAAGCTATCACGTCTAACCTCGTCTTCTCCATTCTCATTGCAAAGAACCAGTTGCTAACTATTGTCCAAGAAAAAACTGTGATTGAAGATGCCAGATTAGAGCCAGCAGATGTCCACCTTTTGTTAAATCTCATTGGGGCATCTTCTGCTTTCCAGGCTGGAGAAATATGGACTCCAATTTGCCTCCCATTATTTAACCCTGACTGTTATTTTTATGCATACATTTCCTACCTGGACCCTCCCGAATGCACTGTTTGCCTATTGCTGCTCTCGACAGACAAGGAAGCTTTCTATGCTGTAGCAGAGTGTAAGAGGAAGATCGAGGAAGCCATGACGGCTCAGAACTCACTGAGCCTCATAGACAAAGCGCAGTCCTACAGTGTGAGCCAGGTGGGAGTTTCAGACCTCAGACACTTCATGTACAAGCCCTTTGATGTGCCAGACAACTACCGCCAGCTCTCTCAGTTCACCAGGTATGTTTATTTTTGTACTTTTACCGCAGATGTCAAAATATGCAGTAAAAATACCCATAATATCAGATTTAGATTTGTATTCTTAATTCAGATATCCAGATTTTCAAAGTGTGAAAGCATAAATCTAACTTGTTCCAAGCTCTCACAGACTTGTAAACTGTTAGTATACATTATTGAACAGCATGGTTAGCACACATAGCTTCTGCTATAGATAGATTGTTTTATAATTTGATGACAACAAGGCACAGTACTATTATAAACTTCGGCTTTTACTCTAAACTTGTGGGGGGAAAACAAATTTTACATCTATTAGAAAAAAGAAAAAAACTCAAGGGCATCCAATAATAGTTGCAAAAAACACAAAAAGATGCTTTCTGTAGATCTAATTTTATCATCTATCTTCTATCTCTCTGTTCTCCAGATGTTGTTCTTCCCCTAAGCAGAAAGCCAAGTACAAAAATAAAATTTAAATCAGTTGGGAGAGAACATTCTCTTGCAAATCTTCCATTCATTCCTGACTAAATTTTTAGTAACCAAAATCCAAATAATGGGACTGACAGAACCACTCCAATTAAATTTCTCTTAAGTAGTGCAGATTAAACAAGTTATTTGGAGCCATCTTAAACAACTGCTAGAGTTGACTTATGGTGCTAAGCTTCTTGCTTGTTTCAGCCCAGAGATGGAGGCCCCATACAGCAGTGAAGAGGAAAAGACCAGACTACTGGACCTTTACCGATACATGCACAGCCGCATCCACAGCACCTCGAGACCCCTCAAACTCATTTACCATGTGGCAGAGAAGGAGACCATGCTCGCCTGGGTATGTGGCCTGCCCTAACTTGATCTGAATGATGTTATTGATTACTCAAGGCAAGGAACGGCACTAGAATTTTATTTATTTATTTGATGAACTGCGTGTAGTTAGTGATAATTTACGTGTTTGGTTGTGCAATTTTTTAACCTCTAAATAAGGCTTAAGTTGGGATGAATTTAGTTGTTAAAGTTGTGTTATTTGTTTTTTGAACTGTGAAAAATGATGTATGTATTTAAATGCTTCACAATCCTCTTGGCACATCACTAAATTCACACTAACATATTTTAGAATTAGATTACCTGATTTTTTCACAAAGTACACTTTTGGGGTAATTTACTCATTTATGAGGAAAAAAAAAGATGGGTACTTCAGCTTTAATATGCTGGAAAACAAAAGTGACTAAAACAAGTTTAACTGTAATAGTTTCTAAACCTTGATAAATTTAGGTATTTTATTTTCTACCATATATTTACAGTACTAGTAAAACCATTAATCAACGTAGGACCTAGGAATAACCAAGCACCTAAAATACAGATGAAAATGTCGCAATTTTATTTTAAGAGCATTAATCACTTTTTAGGCAGTTCCAGTTTCTAATATATATTAAGATATACCTTAACATCTAGGAGTCTTGTATTACCTTGCCAGTGCCTTGCATGCACGTCAAATGAGTAATATCTTTCTTTTCCCTCTTTAGGTCACAAGCAAATTTGAGCTCTACACTTGCTTCAGTCCTCTGGTGACCAAGGCCTGTGCCATTACCGCAATCACCAAACTTTTACGGTGGATCAAAAAAGAAGAGGACCGCCTCTTCATTCGGTACCCCCCAAAATATTCAACCACTCCCAACCCCAGCAAGAGCTCTCGAAGCAGCAAATCAGACCAGCAAGACTCCACGGACAATGGCTTCCTATCTCTCCTATGAAAGTCTTATTCTGATGCCCATTGGACTTTGCAGATGACAGCAATCCAACACTAATTTTAACTATTTAAGAAACAAAGTATCTAGTGTTGTAATATAATATGAAGGCATGCTAAACCATCATGGCTTTCAATTTAAAATGGTCAGGCAAAAGTAGGACTGCAAGTAAATAGTTTGTTTTAAATTGAATTGTGGTAGAGACATCACAATAGTATTTAAAGTTTTTATAATGTTTTATTACTGCAACTAGACATTTTCTTACAAATGATGAATGTATTAAGAGGATTTAAGACTTTTGATGGAATTCATTGTTTCTTTGTGAAAAAAATGTGAAAAAACAATTTTAGATGAGGCAAAACCACTACTGTCCATTAACCCTGTCTTTTGTCCGCTATTCAGAATCTATGGACAAACCACTAGTGACCTAGGACTTTATAAAGTGTTTCTTTGTTTGACATATCCGGAAAAACAACTGGAACTGGCAGAGCAGGCATGTGTCATGTGCTTACATACAGTTGCCCAATATTTGAACAAGATGGTTTGCTCATCGCTCATTCACTTTGGATAGACTGGGTGTGTACACAAATTGGGTAAAAAATGGGAGGAAATCCAGTTAGCTCAATGTGGTCATTGTTATTTGTCAAAATAATATCACTTCATACAGTGAATACAAGTACAACTGTCATATGACTTGTAGCATATAAAGTCATAGTTTTGGGAAACTAGTTTTGCAAAGATTGTCTATAAGATGTGATATTAAGAAAATCTAAGTATTAAGGACATCTCTACAGTATGAATAAAACAATCCTGGTTGCAGCCATCCCCATTTTACTTCTTGTGTTTAGTGTTTATGAAGAAGCACCACTCAACCAGACCTTCATGACTAGGCATGTACTTGTTGATCTAGTTTGAAATTCTTTGCCACAGTAAGAAGCTGATTTTTATCCTGCATAAAATACTTTTCTGAGCATAAGCAAAATTACCGGTTACACTTTTCAACAGAGTTACTGTAAACAAAACTAGAAGTGCAACTATTCCTTACTTGGCTAGTGTTTCTGAAAAACTACAGAGGATTTTCAGACATTAAATTCTGATCTCCTTCAAACCCACAAACATTTAAGACAGAAACTGGTCCACTCAAAGGACAAAACACCTAGCCACAAACAAAGCAATGTTGTCTACTCCATTCAGTGTAGTGAAGACTGCAGTGAGCCCTACAGTGGAGAAACAAAACAGCCACTTCACAAGAGGATGTGCATAACAGACGAGAGAGCAGCAGTGGTCCTCAGTCTGCCATACGTCACCTAGAAGCCACAGGCCAATCCTTTGAGGATAGTGAGGTACAAATCTTAGCCAGAGAAAAGAACTGGTTTGAGAGGGGAGTTAAAGATGCTATTT